ATTTTTTTAATCCAATTTAAATGTTGAAATGCATTTTTCCCAATATTGTTCTGATCTTATTTTTATGATTTTTTTATGATCACCTATTACATGTTTTTGTAAATAACTTATCTAATGTGTTAATAAAATGCTCAAAATACAGCTGACCATCTTGCAAAAGCAGCTCTTACAATCTCCGAGTTATGTTGCCATTGGCAGCTTGATTTGTACTTCAAATCAAACATATTTGTTATTGTCATTCAAATAAAACAYAAGGCATTATAGGTATGTGAAAGTAGATAATCATAACTAAATTCTTATTTGTGGTAAAAATGACTAACAATGAAAGGAAGAGACACACACCTCATAATCAGAAGGCAGGAATTCAGATATTTCAACACTAGAYAGTGGCCGTTGATTCACATCTGGTAGGTGTTTCCCTGAAACTTTGTCTTTCATTGCTACCATGTTGAATGTATGTAGTGACTTGTTTTGGTTTGATTTAGACATATGCCGTACACTTAAGTGTAAGTCCAAATTATCTCCAATGATTTGAAACCCCATACTTGGTTCATTTAAGGCTAAGGTTTTGGCTTTTTGAATTACCTCAGGTAAGCTAGCAGATCCCTCCTGTTCTAGGTGATAGCAAGCAGTTACTGAATATTCAAGAGCTTTTTTTACAATGTGATCTTGGTTACCATGGGATTTGACTGCTTCTACAACATTCTCTGCAAGGGACATGGGATTATTGGAGCAAGAGAGATTCAACCCAGCCATATTTACAGTTGATGACGTTGTTTGAAATTCATGCTGTGTGGCTGCTGTGGTTTCCACCATGTCTTTGTAGCTGGAGTGGTCAGAYAGCAAACTAGCAAAGTGGCTGTGGGAGGGTAGCTCAGGTARGTAGTTTAATTCCTGTACAGATGCATCTAAGTCGTCAAGGCATTTTTGGATTTCTTCACTTTCACTGATGCTTTTCATCCAGTCTTTAACTGTCGAATCATGGTTCTTTCCTAGCTCTTTGGACTTGACTGCTGCAGAATCAGGATATATTATTACATAACTGATTTTGTATTTGTTGCAATTAATACATATATATATATATATGATATAAGACCATATAAGATATCACACTAAGACTATTTTTTTGCCATAAAGACTTTATTTATTACTGACAGACTATAACAGTGGTAAACCAAGTGAATATAACATGTCTGAGCAGGGAACCATGACACATTAATTGTTATTGAGTTTGCATTGACATGAAACACTTACCCATCTTGCAGCCCCTGCACTGCGAAGTATTAAGCCAAACCGATAGGCTAGTGCACTTAATTTTGCATTTCTGGAATGAAGAATCATTGAAGCAATTGTAGTGACGTAGTTGGATACTTTTTTCTCGTGCTGACTGACTTTTTTCTCGTGCTCTGAGTCTTGTACATTTTCTGTGTTCTTAGTTGTCTAAGTTGAGCAGAGTAACTTTAAAAGTTCGAGTGTTACTGGAGCTTTTGCTGTCAATTCTTCTCTA